GCCCTGACCTCTTGGATGGAACAGGGTAATACAATTAGGTGGGGACTGCTATACTATCTCCTACTAAAATTTGAAAGAAGAAAAACATGTGCAGCTGGAAGACTGATACACTAAAAAGTTAGGGCTTTTGCAGAATGACAAATTTGCTGGGATGAGACAAAGCAACAAGAAAAAGCATGGGCTAAATTTGAGTGCAAAATTCTATGGTGAAATTGCTTCCATCACAAAACACCTAAGAGCTAAATACAGGAGGTGTGGGAGAATCATTTCCACCCAGATGGGCTAACACTTCAGAGAAGAATCCATAGGGAATAATCTTTCAATGTATGAATGAATGAAATCTGCGGATGGATCTTTTATTAGTATTTAGCCTCTATAGAGCATTCTATTTTAAGAAAACCTAAACAAAGAAAATCCAAAAATAATCTTTTTGTTTTTAATTTACAGGTCTATGCGAAACTAGTTCTTCCTGAAGAAGTAGCAAATATACAGAAATAGAGATTAAAGAAACACAAGTTGGATACTGAGATAATACTAGGCAAAGGACCTCACTAGCAATCAAACACACTGTTTCTGTACTTCCATTCAATCCTTGAGTCTTCTGTACATTGTTTATATAATTTCACATGGGTTATTTTTTTTCAATTTCCTAACCATCTTCAGAGGTTGCCAGGGTATTGTTAGGGCCATCTCATAGTTGGTAGAATGACAGAAATTAAAGATTTTTGGAGGGGAGAAGAAGAAGGATGTGAACTTAAATCATATGTATGTAAGTATGTGAATTTCCTATGTGAGATCAGGAAAAACATGTCAGTGAGAATAGACTTGGCAGCCAGCGAGCCCAGATTTAAAAACTGAGCTATGTTGATTTGGGCAATGTACTTAACCTTTTTGTTACTCAGTTTCTTTACCTACAAGGTGGAGACAATAATAGTACCAACTTCATAGGATCATTGTGAAGAGTAAAGGAACTGATATTTGCCCAAAGCTTGGCAATCAGTAATCACCATGCATATGGCTGTAATTCTTAATATGCATTCAGATATTTTCAGAGGTTCCACCTCTTCTCTTTAATAGAAGAATATATTTGCAAAGTTATGTTCCCAATAGTTATAGTTTGACATCCTAAATATTAAAGCTTCCAAGGTACAAAATCATTAGTAAGTTGGCATCTGATCCCAACACAGATTCTTAATTGTCTATGAATCCCCAGCCACACCTACCCTTATAGTTAACCATCTCTTTTGTCAGGTAATTTGTTGTAGCTATGCCCACACCACTACTCAGAAGGAATAGGCTATTATTTTCCTTTCACTGTCAGCATAGATGGAATCTTAGATGTGGAGCTGCCTAAATTTTGCAAACTCACACACACACACACACACACAAAAAAAAAAAAAAAAAACTAAAGGAGGCACTTTGTAAAAGTACTATGGAAAACATAAAAGATCCTACTGTCCCCTTGATTGCAATTTCTTTCTTTATTATCATAAGTGCAACCTGTTTCTTACTCCTTTCATAGAGACCACATCATTTGAAAATGTTTAGTATAAAGAATGAGGCCTTGGTAAGATTGGGGCCTGCTTCATCATCTCTTTCCTCCTCCTCAAAGTGTAGTAGCTGGATGAGCAGCATCCCTTAGAAACTGGAGAGAAATTCCAAATGCCTGATGCCATCCTAGATCTCCTGCATTAGAATTTTATTTTAAGAAGATCTTGGGTGATTCCTATGCACATGAAATAGCTGACTCTCTGCAGCTATTTTATTGACAAATTCTGTTTCATTGGAAGGGACATGTAAAGAATGATACTCTGCAAGTTGTTTAATGGTGGCAAAGTCAAGATCATCAAATTTGATGGTACAGAATAGAGGACACAGAAACCAATCCACAAAACTACAACTACCTTATATTTGATAAAGGGGCTAAAAGCATGCAATGGACGAAGGATAGCATCTTCAACAAATGATGCTGGGAAAACTGGAAATCCATATGCAACAAAATGAAACTGAATCCCTTTCTCTCGCCATGCACAAAAGTGAATTCAAAATGGATCAAGGAGCTTGATATCAAATCAGAGACACGCCGTCTGATAGAAGAAAAAGTTGGCTACGATCTACAGTCGGTGGGTTCGGGCTCCAAATTCCTCAATAGGACACCCATAGCACAAAAGTTAATAACTAGAATCAACAAATGGGACTTACTCAAACTAAAAAGTTTTTTCTCAGCAAAAGATACAATAAGAGAGGTAAATAGAGAGCCTACATCCTGGGAACAAATCTTTACTCCTCACACTTCAGATAGAGCCCTAATATCCAGAGTATACAAAGAACTCAAAAAATTAGACAATAAGAGAACAAACAACCCAATCAACAAATGGGCCAAGGACCTGAACAGACACTTCTCAGAGGAGGACATACAATCAATCAACAAGTACATGAAAAAATGCTCACCATCTCTAGCAGTCAGAGAAATGCAAATCAAAACCACCCTAAGATACCATCTCACTCCAGTTAGATTGGCAGCCATTATGAAGTCAAACAACAACAAGTGCTGGCGAGGATGTGGGGAAAAGGGTACACTTGTACATTGCTGGTGGGACTGCAAATTGGTGCAGCCAATTTGGAAAGCAGTATGGAGATTTCTTGGAAAGCTGGGAATGGAGCCTCCATTTGACCCAGCTATTCCCCTTCTCGGTCTATTCCCTAAAGACCTAAAAAGAGCATGCTACAGGGACACTGCTACATCGATGTTCATAGCAGCACAATTCACAATAGCTAGACTGTGGAACCAACCTAGATGCCCTTCAATGGATGAATGGATTAAAAAAATGTGGCATTTATACACAATGCAGTATTACTCTGCATTAAAAAATGACAAAATCATAGAATTTGCAGGGAAATGGATGGCATTAGAGCAGATTATGCTAAGTGAAGCTAGCCAATCCCTAAAAAACAAATGCCAAATGTGTTCTTTGATATAAGGAGAGTAACTAAGAACAGAGTAGGGTCGAAGAGCATGAGAAGAAGATTAACATTAAACAGGGATGAGAGGTGGGAGGGAAAGGGAGAGAGAAGGGAAAGTGCATGGAAATGGAAGGAGACCCTCAGAGTTATACAAAAGTACATACAAGAGGAAGTGAGGGGAAGGGGAAAAATAATATAAGGGGGACAAACGAATGTCAGTAGAGGGGGCAGAGAGAGAAGAGGGGAGGGGAGGGGAGGGGAGGGGGGATAGTAGAGGATAGGAAAGGCAGCAGAATACAACAGACACTAGTATGGCAATATGTAAATCAATGGATGTGTAACTGATGTGATTCTGCAATCTGTATATGGGGTAAAAATGGGAGCTCATAACCCACTTGAATCAAATTGTGAAATATGATATATCAAGAACTATGTAATGTTTTGAACAGCCAACAATAAAAAATTAAAAAAAAAAAAAGATCATCAAATTTGATAGTGTTATGGTTAAGATACGGGATGTCCTCCAAAAGCTCATGTGTGAGATACTGCAAGAAAGTTTAGAGGGTTATGAAAGCTTTACCCTAATTAGTGCATCAGGGGATTAACTGGGTGGTAACTGTAGGCAGGTAGGGTGTTGCTGGAGGAGGGGGGATACTGGGGAAGTACATTTGCTCTCACTCTCTCTCTCTCTAATGTCTGGTGCCATGTCCTGCACTGCTTTCTTCCACCCCAGTCTTCCACCTTGATGCTCTGCCCTCCCCTCCAGCCCAGAACAATAGAGTTGGCCATCTGAGACCTCTGAAACCATGAGTTCCCCAAACAAACTTTTCCTCCTCTAATTATTCTTGTCAGGTTTTTTTGGTCACAGCAGTGAAAAGGCTGAATAAAACAGATAGTAATATGATACAATGCAGCCTCCATTCTGGAGCTAATGGTAGCTGGATTCTTTCTGATTTTCTCTCATCACCCTTGCTATTTACTTATTAAAGCTTACAAAGGCAGATTCGGCCTTACCTGCAGCAACCCAGGAAAATAAAAGAGTGAGTCATCCTCATTCCACTGTGAGAAGAACAGTCTATGCCTGCCGATTCATAGCTGGGTGAGCCCAGAAATGAATGAAAAGCCCAGGTTAGGCAATCACCCCTCTGTAAAATTCAACTCAGAAGGCAACCTGGAAGGTAATGAGCACTTTGGCTAGAATTAAGAAGTTTCAAGAGACTCCAACAAAGGGGGGGGGGAGCAAAGGAAAATAACTTAATGAATCACTTTAATTCTGGAACTGCTAAGGCATGAGAGCTGGCATGACTCTGTTTAAATGACTAACACCATCAATTCAGAATAGTCACTTAGCAAATACAAAAGGTGGAGAGTGATGATCACTTGGGAGAAAACTCACCCCCAAAGAGAGACACAGGAGCTGTTAGAGTTCTGTGGCCCTCCCTGGGGAGTTAGTCACTATTGCAGTGGCAGTCACTTGCACAATTCTGCCATTGGCCAGAAAGAATATTTTAAAGTTGAACTCCATCCAATTATCAACCAGACACAAACCATACACAGTACCGGGTATGCTAGTAATTCAAACATGGAGTTGGCCAGGCTGTTCCCTCCCAGTTTACAGTAGCGATGAGCATTGGGAGTGAGCATTTCCTTTAACAAAATGTACTGTTCCTCCTCCAGGAGAGGATGTTTAAACTGGGAGCAACTATCCAGCAATAGATCCTGAAGCACAAAGTCATCACGGTACTAAAACTACAACCTGAATCTCTCTTTGACCTTTTGTAGTTTTCAAAGATTTTCTACAGGCTACTGTCTTCTTCTATACTTTGGACTCTATTTAAAAAAGAAGAAAGAAAAAGTGAGGTAAGTGCTTTTATTCCTACATTAACAGAAAACATTTTGCCACGGAGAGAGCTTGAATGAATGAGTGATACTAGCACAGCTATGCAGTGGCAGACAAAAGAATCTGAACTTTGATTCCATTTGCCACCAAGGTCTTTGTCATTCTCCTATGCTAAGCTCTAAGTTTCTTTGTGAAGAATACCTGCATATCACATTTCATTTCCATTTTGATCTTAAATTTCCCTGCAGGTTAAAAAGCAACAGGGACCACTTTATTCTGAAAATCACCTTGTCAAGTGGATCTAGCAATGGGGTCATCAGGATTGAAAGCCCTGATCTTCGGACTTCTAGTCTTGGGCACTTTCTTCTGCTCCCTTGGTATGAGTGCTCTCTGAAATCCATTTCCTCCTCTTCTTGGCTTGACTATCCATCACAAACTTCCTTGCCATTAGGTGCAGTGAAGTGTCTGAATTCTGGCCAATGCAATGGGAATGCAAGGCATGCAAACCTCTTCCGTGGCTCAGACTATAAACTCTTCCCATGCATATTCCTCTAAGCTGTTTTGCCTTTTGGCTGACTGAAGAACAGATAACAATGGCAGCCTTAGAAGCCAAGAACTGGAAGATAACTGAGCCACAGTTGGCCTAGTTCTCTGAATGACTAAATGAAGCAAAGTCACCTTCACTTCCCATTTTGTCACCAATCTCAAACTGCCCTGGACATCAAGAAATGACCTCGTGTTATGTTGAGTCATCACATGTCTGGGTTAACTTATCATTAGACTCTCTTAGCCATAACAGACAGCCAGCCCTGCATACCAGCTCATCTGGACCTCAGCAGCAGCAGCAGCAGCAACAGCAGCAACATGCCTCTTGTTCTGCTTTACAGAGACGATCAGTTCCATCCCTGCAGGGATTCTTCAGGGCACTCATAAATCATTAAGCCAAAATCATCTGGGGAAGTGAATAACCAGGCACAGTCATTTGGGGGCAGGGTGAAGAAGAAGATGAGGTCAGGCTTTGCAGTCAAACAAACCTCAATTTGATGTCCAACTGTATCGCCTATTAATTGTGCAAAATATGGCCAGTTTCTTAGCCTCTCTGTGTCTTGGTTTGCTCATCTGTAAAATGGACAGATTGTTGAGTTTAATTTACCTTGAGAGCAAACTCCTGGGATTATCAAACCAACAGGAGCTGCCCTTTCTACAGGAAGAAAATGAGGGGATGATTAGATCTGAAAGCACCTTCAAAGGTGAGGTACTGTGATTATTATTTTTTTTTTTTTTACTGTTTCTTAGCTACATCCCTTGTAGGCAGTTTAGCGTTCAAGCTGACATGTGGCAGACTTTGGTTGCATTCTCAGGAGCAATGCTGACAAAATGCCCATCACCCTCGGCAGAGCCCCAAAGAGTCCCTGGACAAAAGCTGGGCACATCTGCTTCTGGGCTATCTCATTTCCGTTCTCTCTTCTCCATCCTTAGGGTGACCATCCTGCTTAGTGCTGCTTTGACAACATCATTTGTGAATCTCCTTTCAACAAAGGGACCAGGCCTCAAACTCAGAATGAGAGAAGGTGAGAGTCTTTAAGAAATCACTTTAGAGTATACATAGAGAAAAACAGGGGGAAAGGAGGAGGGGAGGGTAAGGGAAGTACTGGGAATGAAATCAGAGGAAATTACATTCCATGCTTCTATAATTATGTCAAAATCAGCCCCGGTGTTGTATATAACTATAATGCACTAATAAAAGAAACCGCTTTATTTGTTTTTATGGGATTGGGTTCTAAGGTTAAACTTCTACTGATGAAAAGGTATACTGGATTTCCATTGAGGAATTTATATAAATATGTGATGGGTAGGTAATATAGGTGGGCTGATAGATAATCTGTTACAGATATATTTAAGTTAAAATAAGTAAGTCCATTTCAATAAAGCTATGAGGAAATTCTGCACAAACATCATGAAGATGGCAAAGTAATAACTAAAGTTAGGAAATGCTATTTTAAAGCAATCAGCATCCTACTGTGGTACAGGTTTATATTTATGCCTTCTTCCAGGCACTTTTTTTACTCACTGGCCCTGCGTTCATTAAAAATAAAGAAAAGAACTGCAAAAAGGCTGGGTTTGTGGCTCAGCAATAGAGCACTCGCCAAGTGTGGCTGAGGCACTGGGTTTGATCCTCAGCACCACATAAAAATAAATAAATAAGAATGAAGGTATTGAAAATTAAAAACAAACACACAAACGCTTTCTTTCTCCAGTGATTACCTTTGCCTATAAAACTACATATAAGACAGCATCAGCCTGGATTCCAAGCTCCTTTCCAGCACATTCTGATGCCCTCTGATATTCTCTACTGCTGTCTCTCCTGCCTTCAAGTTATTGCCAGAAAGAATTTTGATCTGGTCCACTCTGTGCTTTCCCATCTCGGTTTGGCTTCTGCTATTCTCTCTGGGTAGAGCATCCTCCGTCTTTCCTGCCACACAGATCTTTGCTATTACTCTTTCCTCTGAAGTACTCCTAGAGCACATAGGTATTTCTCCTTAGTATTTGTGGTACCATGCCTTATTTCATAGCCGTGTGTAAGAACCACCTAGGAACTTTTTTAAAACTACTGATGCCTTATCCCTAGCTTGGAATTTCTAGCTTTCTGTATGTACAGTGAAGCCTGGGACTTGGATGCTTCTTAGAACTCACTAGAGGAGTCTAGTGTACAGCAATGTTTGAGAACCACTCACTGCCACGGACACTCATGATCTGCTGCAAGCCCTTGCTATTGGACAGTCAGTTTCTCAAGTTTGCTCGACTTGGTATAGATGGAACGGCAGTGGAGAAATACTCCAGCATCTAAATCCACCCTGGTCTTATTCCAGGACACGAATCTCTGACAGATTTTAAATCAGGATTCTATTACATGATTGTGCAGGTTATTAGAAACAGACCACCAGGAACAGGAAAGCATCACAGCAACTCAGCCAAGCTTTGGACTGCTTCCCCCATCTAGGAAATGTATCATGCAGGCTATTTTCAGTTGTTAATTAGTCATGGAAAAAGGAACCATCTGCTTCCACCAGGTATGGACACTAGAAACTTCTCCTCCATGTAATACACTTCACTTCTTCATCAACTTGCCATGGATCAGACAGACAGCTGCCTTCCATCCTGCGTCTTTCACCGTGGGTCATGTGAAAAACTTCGGGATACACACATGGGTATGGTCTGTTCTCAAAACCAAACAGTTCACCGTGAGTTTAAATGGGTACCATTATAATTCATGGTAAAAATCTAATACCGGCCCTGAGCTGTCATCAGAGACATGATTTAAGCGTCTAAAACACCCAGCATGATCAAGAATTCTGTCTCGGGTTAGACTATCTTACTGATGCTTAAAGGATACCGTCAGCTTTCTTCTCTTGAGTTTTTCCCGGTGACAGTTTACATGTTTTATTCTAGACTCCATCTCTCTCAGCGCCCCCAGAGGCTTCTATCAGTGAGAAATGGCACGCCAGCTTCTCCTAAAACCATTATTAACGACAGACCGATTTCTGCAGCGTCTGAACTCACATGTACTTCTTCCTGCCATCTTCATTCCTCAGATTGTAGAAGAGTGACAAAGTCTAGGCTTCATGGAGAGAGAGTTAACTTACGGGGCCTGGCAGGGAACTGAAAGGCAGGGAGGTGCAAGTGATTCTCCTTTCGTCCCTCTTCATTATTATCATCTTCCTCTCCACATTTTTTCCCCTTTCCACACCTATGTCTATTCAGGTTTTTCATCTGGTCTTTTAGGTACCGTACCTTCATTCCTCATCCTTGGCTCAGCTCTTGATATTTCATTCTTTTTTTTTCTTTTTTTATCCTACAAACTCCACTTCAGGTTTTGAGGCCACCTCTCTCTTCAAGGGTGAATCTCCCAGGGGCACCATCATCCCTGTCACCTCCTCTTCATCCCAGGCAATGCCGGTTGCTAGTGGCAGTGGAGACAAGGCCTTTCAGATATAGATTTCAGCACATTAAAAGATCTGAGCTTCTGCCATGGTAAAAAAATGTGCATGGATGTGATCAAGACCCATACAGGGAAGAATCCAGAAAAAGAAGTGAAAACATTCTTAGCATGGAGAGATTTGGGGAGGCGCTTTGTTTACTTTTCTGAATGCCATTATAACTTTGTTAGTATAATTTTAAACAAAAATTTTTGCACTTTTAAAAAAGCTGATTCAAAGTATCTAAAATACATGAAAGCTATTATTATTATTATTATTATTTTAAAGAAACCTGAAGTGTATTTTGAGAGTAGGTCATCCAAAGAGTGGGAAAGAAAATAGAACCTTGGTAGAAGAATGCTTAGCATCTGGACAGAGGACACGGCCCACCCAGTTAGGCACAGTTGACTGTGGGGACTGGGCTACATCCTTCCCTGAGGATCATGTCCTCTCCATCTGAGCTGACACAGTTCTCCCACCCCCTTCAGCCTTGCATTTACTTCCCCAGCTCTTTTGTGCCACTCCTTTGGTTTCTCCCTTCCGCCCCACTTCACAGCTGGGAGGTGACATCTAACACTTCCCAGCAGCATATGCTGGCAGGAGCAGGTGCCAAAGCAGCGGAGACTGCTAGAAAGGAAGAGAATCCCACAAAGGACCAGGCTCTGCCTCACATGCCCCGGCTGTCCTTTCCTCTGGGTCTCAGGGACAGGGCAGCCCCTGTTGATTGTACTGGTGTTATTCTCACATGCATAAACAGCATTTGGGGGAGCTGCAGAAAGCAAGTGTCCCCTGAGCTGGTTGAAACGGCTCAGCTTTTCTTCCAGGGCAAGTGCTGTGTTCATGCCCTTCACTCCCCTTGCTGTTACCCAGTAAAAACATGGTGCAGCCCTTAATAGTTAAGAGCCAGGCTCTGCAGCTACACCTTTGCAAAACCAAACTCTGGTCCTTGATAGTATCAGGACCTGGACAAGTTGTAGTGTGACAATTTGTCATTTTCTTATCTATGAAATGTCTATTCTTAAGAACTCATTGAGATAACACATATTAAATGATCTAAGTATAGTAAGCTCAATACTTGAGTTTTTATTACCAAGTCACCCTCTGTGTTAGGTTTGCAAGCTGAAGTGACAAATAAGAAAGGAGAGGCAGTTTTTCATCTGCTCCCAGAGGGCCACATTCTTTAGTTTAGGGAGAAGAAAAGGTACTTCTGTAATCCACCGGAAGTTCAGCTTCCTCCTTCCCACTGCAAAATGAGCTCCGGACAGAAGACAGGAAACATCTCTTTAGGATAGAATATGATGCATCTCCTCATTCTTTCATTCATGCACTCAAGAAATATTTATTGAGCACTTGACTTGTATGCCAACACTGACTTTTGTAGGAGCTCAGGAGACAGCTTTGAGGAAGCAGATTTCCTTACCCCATGGAACTTAGAGTCTAGAAAACAAATATTAAACAGGTACACACTTGCACACACACACACACACACATATATACTTGCTCCTTTTTTATAATGGTTCAGGTGTTACAAGTTATGTGAAGAAAAGCAAATGAGTTAAAATGATAAAGAATGAGGCAGAGAAAGGGAGGGAATCATTTACACATTTCACATGACTGGTCACAGAAAAATCTCTTTGCTAGGGAGATGTTTGGGTAGAGCCTTCTCTGGAGACCTCCCAGAAAAGTGTTCTTCCATAAAGCAAAAGCCAATCTAATGCCCAGGAATTCCTAATATGCATGACATTCAGGGAAAATCATTTTTTTTCACACATCCCTTCTCCATGTGACAACATGATTTACAACCATAGTCATGAAGTGAAACAAGTTTTATTCATATATAAACTGTGCACTCACCGAGCAAATGTTCTTTGTGGTACCTAAATGTTAAGCATAAACAAAAGACCCACAAGACTTAATAGAGAATGACATAACTATTGTAACTCAAGGGTCATTTCTTCAATTGTACAATCACTCTGCCTCCACTGGTTATTTAAAATCAACTTTCAAATGTGGAAACACATGATACCAACATTGGCTGGAGAAGAGAGCTGTACCCACCCGAAGCAAGAGAAGGATCTGGAATTGTTAACATCGAATGAGTTTATAGCTGAGACCCTGCATCCGTAGGCATAACTTGGACCTCTCAGAATTAGCTTCCATGTAGAATATAGTGTCTATTAAACAACAAAAATGTGCTAATTTTGAGTTTATATGTATATCCTTGAAAATTAATAGAAACCATCGCTGCAACATATTTTGAGGGAGAAAAAGTATTTTATCGCTGACATCCTTTGGAAATGCCAGGGTTTGGCTATCATAAAAAGCAGAATACCTCTTAGCTGGTTTTACAATAGTTTCAAGTTTTCTATGTGCTTGCTTCCTGCCTGTATCCAGGGTGTGTTTTTCTACTGCCCTGCACTGAGTGTGTCCCCGATTAGGGGAGCTGGTGTCCCCGATTAGGGGAACTGGTGACCCCTCCTCATTTCCACATACAGCAGGACCCTTCTTCCAAACACGTTTCCCGCTGTCACTCATGGACCCTTCAGACCCTGGGGTACAGTAACCCAGATCCTAGAAGTAAAGCAATGTGACCCAGATGCTGTAACTCAGGAAAAAATTATCTCACACCTCTAGAAACTGGAGCCTCTTGGCCTTCAGGTTTGTTAGCAAGAGCAGCACCTTAGTTTTGAGAGCAGATAGCAGATGTTTTCTGAGCACCCATAATATGTGTGATGACAAGCTAGAGAATGAGGGAGACACTCAAAGTACAGGGCATGGTCTCGAACCATAAGAGTTTTGTAATCAGGGTTGAGAGACAAAACAGAAAGATATACACAGCTTAAACCTAGAAACACAGAGAAAGTAAATTCAAGAGATAGAAGATTATCAAACAGAGGGATTATTTTCATCAGGGATGACCAATAAAAACTTCTGTCTTGCTTTTGCCCTGGGTCTCAAAAGGCTGAAATACCATGGGATGAGGAAAGAAGATGAGGAGGAGAAATCTCCAAGTGGAGTTGATGTCAGGAGTGTAGGGAAGGCAGAACGTGTTGTGAAGTCAAGCAACATTCTGGATGATGTTCATCATGAAGACAAAAACACTAGAAGTAGAATGGACCCAGAAGGTGACCTCACATACCAGATGAAAGAATGGGGCATTTAGGTAGTTGGGAGTCATCGAGTATTTTACACAAGGAAGTGATCAAATTAAAGAGGTATTTTTTGGGAAGATGAACCTGGTGGTCATCTAAAGGATGAGGTAAGGGGAGAAGGCAAAGGAGGAGCAAATGAGGACATAAGCATAAGAAGATAAAGACCTGGATTGAGGAGATTCACCTTCACATATAATGGAAACGCGCGAGATTGGACAAGGGCTCAAATGCTACAAAGTTCAAACTCCCAGTGTGAATTTATTTTTAATATCAGGAATATGGGGCTGGGGATGCGGCTCAAGCGGTAGCGCACTCGCCTGGCATGCATGCGGCCCGGGTTCGATCCTCAGCACCACCTACAAACAAAGATGTTGTGTCCGCCGAAAACTAAAAAATAAATATTAAAAAAAAAAATCTCTCTTTAAAAAAATATATCAGGAATATGAAGAGAAGGGTCTGGAAAAAATAGCCACACAACTGGCATCTAGGAAAGTTCTCTTCTGTTTGTTAATGCATTGTTTCATATTAAATATTCTGTACTAAAGATTCCTAAAGAAATAAGACAGACATGGGTAAATAAGACATGGGTAAAGCATTCTCTGTGAATCATGATTTCTCCATAAAAAGCAGTAAAATGGGGCTGGGGTTGTGGCTCCGTGGTGGAGCGCTTGCCTAGCACATGTGAGGCACTGGGTTTGATCCTCAGCACTGCATAAAAATAAATAAATAAAATAAAAGAATTGTGTCCATCTGCAATTAAAAAAAAAAGTAAAGTACCCAACCTCACAAAAAAGCAAACAATTCTTTGCACAATGTTCTAAGAATATTCTTTTTTTTTATTGGTTGTTCAAAACATTACAAAGCTCATGATATATCATCTTTCATACATTTGACTCAATTGGGTTATGAACTCCCATTTTTACCCCAAATACGAATTGCAGAATCACATCGGTTACACATTCACATTTTTACATAATGGCATATTAGTGACTGTTGTATTCTGCTACCTTTCCTATCCCCTACTATCCCCCCTCTCCTCCCCTCCCATCTTCCCTCTCTACCTCATCTGCTGTTGTTCAATTCTCTCCCTTCTTTCCCTCCCCCTTTCCCCTCACAACCTCTTATATGTAATTTTGTGTAACATTGAGGGTCTCCTACCATTTCCTTTCCAGCAGTTTGCCCTACCTGGACAGCCTGGTGTTCAGTCAGATGATACAGAGTGAAATGACCCTTTTAGGAATTTAAGAACTCGCCTCGATTTCTAACTCTTTTTCTTGAAAATAGAAGTAGATTTTATCATAGACACATTTAAAAAGCTGTATTTTAGTTCACCCTCTGAGTGTGCTGTACTTCAGGGCCTCATTCTATTGGTGACTTCTGTGCTACTTCATCCACTCTTCACTTTAAACAGCACTCCCCAGAAAAACCCTACAGCTCTCTCCAAATCAGAGAAACGCCCTGTTCTTTTTTCATGAGCTGCATTAAGGGAAAAGTACAGGTTTTGAGAGGCAGCCGTTATATTTATGGTCTTTAATGGTTATTTTCAGGCATAGTTCATGTAACAAATTTGGAGTTGTAATTTGTTCATTCTCCAATTCACTCAAATTAAAAAATTAACGCTATCCAGGCACTGTGGTGAACACCTGTAATCCCAGCAGCTTGGGAGGCTGAGGCAGGAGGATCGCAAGTTCAAAGCTAGCATCAACAAACTTAGTGAGGCCCTAAGCAACTTAGCAAGACCCTATCTCTAAACAAAATATAATAAGGGCTGGGGACGTGGCTCAGTACTTAAAAGCCCCTGGTTTCAATCCCTGGTACCAAAAGATGATAATGATGATAATAATAATAATAAATGCTATAGTTAAAATATTATGAATATAGCTTCCAAATTCTTGCTCACCCGAGCATCTGTGTGAGGCTTCTCTCAGGAGTTTAGCAAAGAGACCCCACATTCTAGGCAGGACAGGCAGGATTTGGGTTCTCTGGGGAGGGGAGAACAGAAAACCTAACTAGATGAAAAACCTTGACACTTCAAGAGATGGGGAGGACATCCATCTTTTTGTGTAGCAATTTTTTTTCCCAGATTTGAGATTTGTTTTTATTTTCTTGACCTGGAGATTTTAATTTCCACGGAAACAAACAAAAATCTCTTTTCACTTCTTGTAAAAATAAGGGGAGTTGGGGGGACACAGCCCCATTGCATACCTTATCTACAAGGTGGCAGGGAAGGCGGGGTTTCCACCATCCGAAATCAGTGCCGATGGTTGCCTGATTCAGTCTCCATCAGGGTGATTTTCACACTTCTAAAAAAACCCATCTTTCTAAACATCATGAATAATGGATTGAGATTTCTAAAACCCCCTTCATTTCCCTCCACAATTTAAATCAAGCTCTTTCAAAGCCAACATGCTACATATTGATTGAAGTCTGCAAAAGGTTATAAATAGTAAAGGTTGAAAATTTTCCACAAAGGTAAGCAGATGAATAAAAACTACTTAAACTACAGACGGGCAAGGTGTGTTTGTCAGCAGCACTGTCCTTCATCACCGTGCTATTGTCTTGAAGGGACACAATAAACAGAAACGGGCAGTGATACCCTTGTGCTTGCCTCTGAGCTCAACCCTGCATGTACTTCCAGCCTCCTCCAAATCAGAGCTATGCTGCCCCTTTCTTAAGGCCAAACTTGGTGCAGGAAGCTGTATGTAGCTTCAAATCCAAATGCAGTCTCCCTCTGACACTGGATATTGTTCAAATCCTGTATGTTCTGTGTACTCCGTGGCATTCAAGCTAATATCTGTAAACTGTTTGTCAAGTAGCAAATTCCAAGCTAGAGGATTTTTTCCTCTTCCTGCAAATTTCATTTGTAACTCCCACCAATGAGCTGTATCGGGAGACAAGATCATGTGTCAAAACATCAAATCTTTACAGTGATGCATAATACTGTAAAAATAGGAAGAGAATATCTGAGGCTGGAACAAAAAAAAAAAAAAAAAGAGGGTTTTCATGGACAAGGTGGCCCAAAACCTTAGTAATATGTTATCTGAATAGTGTTTTATAACATCCACGGTACTCTCAGGAACTTTGTTTTATCCGATCCTCAGAACAGCACCCTGAGCTGTTCCATTTCCTATGAAGCTCCAAGTAACTTCCATATAACCAATATTTATTGAGTAACTAATGTATGCCAGTTGCTGGTAATGGGGGAGAAATCCAACAATGTGCTCTGCAAACAGAAAGAAGGCCAACATGGCTGGAGCTGAGGGAGAGAACCGTAAGAGATGGGTTGCAGAGGTGGGAAAGGGCTTATCTACTTGAGAGCGGGGAATCAAGACGGAGAAGGATCAAGTAGGGGGTCACATCCACCAGGCAGGTAGTACGGCTGGAGCCTAAGTCGTAAGTGCTGGCACTGGAGTCCAACCAACAGTCCTGCACCTCTCCATGTGCCCTTCTACTACTCCATGTTCCTCAAACGGCTTTACCATCTCAAGGCCAACCTCAAGGCCAACCTCAAGAGGTGAAGCAGGCAGAGAAAAAGGAGCGCTGATATTCCAAACCCAACCTTAGATCCTGTTTATCTGATGGACTATCTGATTTTCACATGAGCAGCATATTTTTTTTTTTTTGCCTGAATTTTAAAACATGGAATTTCCCCCAAATACTAAGGAATATTGTCTTTCCTGCCTATCCTTGGTGGCCTCTGGGCTGAAGATTCCGTTGGCTGGTTCTACACTCTGGGGTAAACTCACGCACTGCAGGTAGAATATAATTATCAGAGGAAACCGAAAAGGTGACCGGAGAAGAAAAGATAAAACATGCTTAATACCTCTAGGGAATGAATCCAAATGGATCTTGATGGGTATTTGTAAGGAGAATGTAATATCAGTGCTTTCCCATTCTTCTTTAAGAGAATTTGAATACTGTCTTTCTCTCACCGTTTCTACATGAACTCAAATTGCTTTAGAAACCTGTCATATTGAATTAGCCAAAGCAGATAGTAATTCAGAGGGGTGCCAGAGTGCCATTGTTGAAAACTGCTGGTTGGAAGGCTTGTTGTGGCATTATTCAGGGGCTCTAAACTTGCTTTCAACAGTGTGTTGCTATGAATGATGGGGTTTCTGTGGGGTTTGGATTAAATATCTCTAAAAGCCCATCACAAAGATGAGAGTATCTGCACTGGGAATGGTGCACACTTAGGGTCAACATCGGAACCATGAATCATAGAATAGGAAACAAGAGGCCTTGGTTGGCCCCACACTGTGGTCACTTGGCATGGACCACAACCAGAACAGACCTTGCAATGGAGCAGCAAGAACAATCAGGTATGGAAGCTCCTTGACCTTGACATGAAATAAATGAGGAATAAGGAACAAAGAACAGAGACCTGAAAACCACCACTCTTCCTCCTGATCCTAATGGCTGGTCCTCTCCTGGGAAATCTGCTTAGGGTCATCTTTGATCACACTACCCTCATCATCATTTTTTTTAAGACGTCGTGATATTTGGTCTCTCTATTCATTTAATTACTTGTTCGGCTACTGTCTGTCCCTTACATTCCAGAAGGTAATCTCCATGGGAAATTGAATCTTGGCGGTCTTACCACCAGCCCTAAGGAGCAATTCCTGGAGCATAGTAGGCACTCAATAAATACATATCAAAGGAATATCAAATTCACAAAAAACATATATACTATCCCAGGGCCATTCTGTGTGTAAGAACATTGTTTGATTAGCTGTTATAGTAAAGCCTATGCAGGCTAGAATCTGGCAGTCAACATTGAATTGTCAGTTCTGACCAGAGACTGGCTGTATGCCTAACCGGTTCCTTGCAGCAGGAACTTCATCTGCGAAATAGCTAGGAAGCCATTGCAGGTCTTTGCACAATGTGTAAACCCACTCTTTAGTAGGATTAAGAAAAATAGTAGCCATCTTCTCAATACCTCATAATAAAAATTTTAGATTTATCTTTGAGCCTTGTCTAATGCAAAAAAAAATATTTTTTGCAACATTTTATTTTGAATTATTCTAAGTCTATACAGATAGATTGCAATAATTGCAAATGAACACTAGATTGACCAACTGCTTATACATCGACCTTTGCTTACTCTCTACATGCCTTTCAGTATGCATGTATGTGTCTGCGACTGAGTATGTGAGTAGGTACACTGTATGCATGCATGTGTATGTGTGCATGCAAATGTATGTGTGTATGGGTCTATATTTGTGTGTATGCCTTGTGTGCGCATGTATGTGCATTATCTGTGCATGTATGAATATATGGTCATTAAATGTGAGTATATGCCTGTATGTATATTTTGGCTAAACTATTCAAATGTTAGTTGTACACTGATGTGCTTCAATCTTAAATACTTCAGTATAGAATCCTCTAAAAGCAAGAATATTATCATATGCTGCAATTATCACATTCATGAAATTTAAAATTGATAACTATACTATTTTCCAATAAACAATTCACTTCTCAACTTTCCTTAGATAACCCAAAATTTGCTTTTTAATTTTTTTTTAATCCAGGTGCCATCAAGGGTAATGTATTGTGTTTTGTTACTGTGTCTCTTCAGTCTCCTTTAATTTAGAAAGGTTCCCACCATGTTTGTTTGTTTTTAACTTTGATGACAGTGATATTTTTGTAAAGTTCAGAGCCAGTTTTTCTGCATGATATCCTTTCATTTTATTTTGCCTAATTGTTCAGCCTAATTATATCCAGGTTAAAGTCTAATATTCTAAAGTACCAAACATAACCCATAGGAAGTAGATCTGAAATAATTCAAGTACCCAAACGGGATTTTTAGGGTGAATCATCAAACCAATGAAGAACAAAAAGGCTTCTGGCAGGTATCAGGTATCACTGGGTAAGAGAGTCTCTTTAATTTTTTGAGGGGGGAGAGGGTACCAGTGATCAAACTCAGGAGCACTCGACCACTGAGCCACTTCCCCAGCCTTATTTTGTATTTTATTTAGAGACAGGGTCTAACTGAGTTGCTTAATGCCTTGCTTTTGCTGAGGCTAGTTTTGAACTTGCAATCCTCCTGCCTCAACCTCCTGAGCTACTAGGATTACAGGTTCTTCTCTTTAATTTTTAAAACAAAAGCCTTATCACATGATTTAGTCAATGTTTCCAACATACTATCTTCAAGATTTTTGCTATATAAGTTTTACCTGTATTAATATTTAGGCAATATCTTTCTTAAAGTCAATTTACTTATCTAAAACTATTCTTATCCTAAAAATATGATCTATATAAATGGTTTTGCTATGCTTGCTCTATTTTTCTAAGACCTACCAAATATATAAACACAAAAAATGTGTGTACTCATCTGAGACTACTTTCCACGATGCAATGGTGCACAGGGGAGACGCTGAGCAGGGCAGAGTGTGTCGGCTTTCTCTGGAGGCGGGGGAGGGGTGCAATGCACAGGAGTGTGGGTGGGTGTGCAGACCTCACTGGGACCTCACTGGCAAGGAGGGCCTTCTCAAGGTGTGAGGGCAAAAGCAGATGCCAAGGCTGTCAGGCCAAACTGGGGACAACATCCAAACCAATGACAAGACCTGCAACTCCCAAGACTCCCAGCAGCTATCTATAGCCGTCTGACATCAGATTGATGACTTCCTCATTCATTTCCACATCATTCAAGTGGCAAGACTGAAAAGAGGCTCAGGAAAGTGCTACTCTGGCAAACTCTGACAGTGATGGAATCCCTGTGTCCTCCAGAAGATCAGTCTTTCTGGCCTGTACAAAATGCATATCGGGTCACAGGATTCCTGACATTTCACACCCTCCACGCTCTGCAGACATGGAGGTGGAGGCCCAGAGATCCTGGATGTGTTGTCAAAGATCACACAGCCAGTGGGACTGGCAAACCAGGAGCTGTATCCATGACTGGTCATTTCACCACCGCATACTAAGGCCTGGACTGATGAAGCCATGTGTATATAAAACCATCTCTACAGCTACACCATGTACATATACAAACATAAAATATATGTGTACCTATATGTCCATATGTATGTATATATGGTTTTATAGACATGTACAAAACCAACACATACATAGCTGTGTATATACATAGATATACATGCATATTAACCCACATGACCAATCTGGCTTCCTAAGTCCCTCTGATGTGCTCTTATAACCACAAATGTGTTTAGTTCCAAGGAGAACGGCTTTCTGTAAATCTCAACCCTTGTCCCTGTATATATGAACCATACAACCTGGGCCAGCTACACTTGAATGCTTCTAGTAACTCTACCCATCCTAACTCTTGCCTATATGTGATGATATCATTAAAAATATGTATAACAAGTAAATATGGTTCTAAGGTTGGACCTCTCAACTCCCTTCCATTCCAGGTCAATGCCTGGAGGGGCAGAGCCCTGGCTTGACCCATCGACGGTTGAAGAACACCCCCACACCTATGCCAGTAGCTGGCAGCTCTCCAGTTCTCCACTGGCCAGGATGTTGTCGGGGATTCCTCCCTCTCCTCCATTCCACATTCTACCGGTTATGAAATTCTTCTGTCTTTTTAGCTCTACTTCCATTCATCTTCTTTTCTTGGGCTGTGAATACACCTTGGTGCATGCCTTCATCTGTCTGTTACAAAGTCTCCTTCATGGTATCCATCCCTGCCATGCTGCCTGCCTGCTGAGCCACCTCTACACCATACCAGTGGCTCAAAGGGTGAATGAGGGCAGGTCTCTAAGACCCTTTCAGGATGAGACTGTTTCCATAATGCTCCTGAAGCACAATTTGCCTATTCTAAGCCTATTTTCTTGCAAGCATGTAGAGGAGTTTGCCCAAAGCCTCGGACACATGGACTAGCAAAAGAGAATGCAGAAGCAGAGGTTAGAGTCCACATGTCTTCTGTTATGCCAGATGTGAAAGAGATGTGCAAAAGTGTAGCCACGCTTCCACTAAATTATTTGTTTGAAAATAAAATTATATTTCACAAAAAATATTTTTATTAGATATGAGCATTTTTTACTATTTATTTTTTTAAAAAATACCTTGATATTATTTATTTATTTATTTTTCATTCCAAGGATTGAACCCAGTGCCTCACACATGCTAGGCAAGTGCTAGGCAAGCGCTCCACCACTAAGCTACAACCCTAGCCCTATTTTTGTTATTTATAATGAATTAATAAACTTTCTTAAAATTTTCAGTTTTAATTTCTAATACGGTTAATATGGATAAATATAATCCACACAAACAAAAACGTTTTAGGGATCCTCTGTAATTGTTGAGTGTCTAAAAGATTTCTGACACCAAAAAGGTTGACCACTATTCCTGACATGGTTATCAGGGGGATTTTTAAAGAGAAAACTCATTTTATCAAGGTAACCCTATATTTTAATTCATTGGCATCCAGAAGCTAATGTCCATCATATCTAACAGGGCTCAAGGCCATCCACTGCAACGTGGCCTCTTCCCACCGGCTAACACCTGCCTTCCTACCTACCCCCTCCCACAGTGTGCTCCCTGCTCTACTCACCACCCCAATGCAGGCCTCCTAAGCCAGCTGCAGTGCTGCTGCATCATGTGGACTTAGCTACAGGGACCGTGTTTCCCAGAATTCCATTCCTGTGGGATTCTGGTTGAGAGAAAGCTGCCTGAAATCTGCATTAACTTGAAAGGCACCGTCCCAGCAGATGCATATTGTCCTTGATCCACTAGCTTGCTTCACAAGTGAGGGCAGAGGTGGACCCACAGATCTTGGAATTCCCACCAGTCTCCACCTTTGGTTTCTGAGTCTGTGGGTGCAACTCCAGAGCAAAGCACACCAGTTTCTTCATGTCACCTGAGCTGCTGGAGCACAGCTCCCAGTTTGTGGGTAGAGGTTCTAGTTCGCCTTTGCTCACAGGTTCTAATTTGCTCTAAGCTCTGATGGCCCAGAGCAACTTCAGGACCACTACCAGCAGTACAAGCAATACCCTCCGCAGATCTCTCACCGATTCCCTGTTGGTCCCTACTCAGCAACTTCCCTTCTCCTCCACCTGTGCCTGGCCAGCCCTTCACATCCTGAGCATCTCCCACAACTGTGCAACGTATGATCTGGCAACAAATCCATTATTCCATGTTATTCACAGTGTCTCTGCTTCCCGTTCACACCTTAATTCATACTAAGTCTCCAGAGTCCTTTCCTGACTGTTTGACAGAACACCAATTTTTTTCTTTCCTGAATCAACTCAGAGACCCTATAGCCCCCTTTAAGCCTTTTTATCAACTCACTACCCAATGGGATACGATGTTCACCTTCTTCACCCCCTCACTACAGCAGCATGCCCCTGCAGCCCTCCATCTACAATGCCTGGCTCTCCCTTCTATGTCTGCAAGCTCTCTGAGATCAGAGACAGGACCTCATGCTCTCTTTGTATCCCCTGTCCCTTGGTTATATGACCTGAACAAAGAGGCAGCAGAACAAATATGACATTGTGGATTTCTAAATGTCAGGAATGGGGAAAGTGTCTGAATGAGAAAAGGTAGGATTAAAGAATTCCACATTCCTAGGGTGGGACTCCACACTAAGCAATTTTTTTCTTAAGTTTATTAGGCATGAGAATTATTTAGGGAACTTGTTCAAAATGCAGATTACTAGTACCACATTTTCAGGTATTCTGATTTAGCAGGTTTTGGGCAGGGCCTAGAACTCCTTGGTTTAAGAAGAGAGGATATTCTCATGAAGGGGACCACCGGTATTTAAGAACATGGTAAAAGCTAGGCACGTTAGCACATGCCTATAATTCCAGTGGCTCAAGCGGTGAGACAGGAAGATTGCAAGTTCAAAGCCAGCCTCAGCAACTTAGCAAGACCCTAACCAACTTAGCAAGACCCTGTCTTTAAATAAAATATTAAAAAAGGGCTGGAGATGTGGCTCAATGGTTAAGCGCCCTTGAGTTCAATCCTTAGTACCCCAAAAAAGTGAGAGGAGGGTGGCTTCTGATAAGGTAAGGGTCCTCAAACTGAGCTCTTCTAAACCCCTTAATGCAGATGGTGTGGGGAACAAGGGAGACGGGCAAAAATGCAGTTTTCTGGATTCCACCCACACCTTCAGAATCAGAATCAGATGTGCTTCCAAAATGGTGAACCTCCAGTGGGACTCAGCAGGGAAATTCACCACTGTGGTGGAAGTGCTTAGTCATGATAACAGGGATAGGAGCATTAACTTCCTGCCTTCCTTAAGTCATCTAAACTCACCCTCAAACCTTCTGTCAATGAAACAGAGATCCCATGGTGCCTCCAGATGTACATAATGAGTACTCATAAGGAAAGGCCCTT